AGGGGGGTTGGACTAGATGACCCACAGAGGTCCCTTCCAACCCCTACTATTCTGTGATTCTGTGATTCTGTGGTGCTGTCCTAGAGAGCTCACCCAAGCTCCAGTCAGTTGTAGCTATAAAATATATTAGACCAAAAGCAGAGTGTTTAATAGCTCTTCACTAATTTTTTCTTTCACAGTTTCTTGTGAACATGTAAATATTAAAATTCTTATTACAAGAAATACTGACTAATTTGTATCAAACTTTTCCATGCTGTCATGGGCATCTATCACAGCATCAGAAGTTGCATGTGTGTGAGTTCAGAAATACCATGGTAGCATTTGCTTGATTTTCAAAGCCATCCTGCAGTTTCAGGAATAGAGAATTTTATCATCAACACTTATTTTTTGATGCCTCAGTATTTCTGAGTGGTGAACACTCCCTTCCTTCTCTCTTACCTACTTCTAAGTTCCTCCTCTAGTGCATGAGCGTGAAGAGAGCAAATTCCATGCCTTAAGGCAAACTTCCCAAATCCTTCAAAATACATGCACTTACTAAGCTGGTAACTATGTGGTCTCTCTTACGAAAAAAACATGGTCCCTTCCTTCCTTCCTTACTCAAGGCATTTTATAGCAGTTTTCTAATCATATCATGCGCTGAGATGAGAAATACCATAATTTCTCACTCTACTGTTTCAAATAGCTTCATCTGAATCCTAAAAATCCTGAGAAATCTCTATACACAGAGTGTCTGTAGAATTTGGCTCTATTTTGCATTTTGTCAAATGATCGTTACGGATTTAAGTATTTGTTCTGTCATTCGCACACTTCTACATGTAGAGGACCCCTGGGTAAGGCGATCCAAAATTAAAGCGTGCAGAGAAATTAAGGTTCCCTCCAGTGCACAAGTCATTTGAAAATGTACCTTTTCTATCGAAGTATAAATATTACAATTGGATGTTTATTGAGGAAATACTTTTTTCAGGAGAATCTTAATTATTCTATTAAACGTATGGACCTTTCATATGTAGCTGCAGTATGATTGTTCTTGTTCTTGTTGATGGAGCCTGTAATGTTTGTTTGACTTGGTGGCTTAGCTTTGAGCAGCAGTGCTGGTCTTCATATTGTTACGGTTAAAACTGTTTTTAAAGTTTAGCTTCTTAGTCTGA